GAAATCATGAGCGCTGATAAAGCCAAGCAGGGGCTGACAGTCCCCAATCCCCCCGTGGCGAGTGAGCCATTGCTTCCGGCATTGCACCTTCCATCCACTCCACCACGTCATGATCATGCGGTAACCATACAGGAACCTGAGACTGCTCCGTTGGCCACAGTTTCCTTGCCGTCTGCTTCAGAAGATCCAAGTACTAGTAAGTATGAATGATTATACTATCAGTGCACGTACGACGACTGCTATTTAAGTGCTTATAATTAGTTATAATTACAAATGAAAACCTTTATTCATCGTTCTTCAGAAATAAAAGTCCATGAAAACCACAATTAACGTGAATACTATTCTCACCTCAGCAGCTGAAAAATCTCTAACTAAAACAACGCCTTGGCGGCAGAGAAAGCGCAAATTCAAGGAGGAAAGAAGGGCTGCTGCCAGGACAGAGGGGCTACCAACCCCCAAGAAGGTGCAGATGGCTTACACCTGCCGGAAATGTGGCCTGCAACAAACGAAGGAGACTGGCCACTCGCAGTATTTTGGCCAGACGTACTGTCCAAACGAACCTGACCAAATACCAAGGGACGAATGGCTGAGGATGAAAGCCGAGGAGCGGAAGGCCAAGAAAGCTGCCACTCAGTAGAAGTTAATACAATCCCTTTAATGCCTGTTTTTTTTTTTTTTTTTTATTTTTCTTTTCTTTTTTTTTTAAAGTTCACATATTTTTTTTTGTTTTTACAAATAGGGCGGGGGTACTGGCCACACCAGCCGGAGAAAATGACAAAGAAAGAAGGGGCGAGGAGGAACGCCGGGGTGGGGGAGGCCAACAAACCCCCCACCCAATAGAAGTTAAAAAAATCCCTTTAATGGCTGTTTTTTTTTTTTTTTTTTTAATTTTCCTTGCATGTATTGTTAAAGTTCACACAATTTCTTTTGAGTTTAATTCATTTTCCGTCAGAGGATTTTAGGTATTCAATCCTGGCCTCAGTAGTTAAAACACTATTCACAGGATACTAAGCGTTTGCATTACCATGTAAGTGCAAAGGGATACTTTTGAAACTAACAGTGCACGTTATTATTGGTAGTGCGAACAGGCTACAGATTTTGGGAAAGGGTGAAAAATCCAAGGAGATGGAGAGCTTTTCCCTCTCCCCAATTTTACCCTCGACCTAAACCCTGTTCAGAGACTACATTACAGAAAACGTCAACAAATTTGCTTTTATTAAAGAAAGAAGTTGGAATCTCTGACTTTTGTTCGCTGAATGTTACCTCTGTAGAGAATGACGACTTTCAAGCCTCCTTTAAATGGCAGTTTTTTTACCTTTTTCTGTTTATTAGAGCGTGCTTTCAGGAACTTCAATAAATATCTTTTTTTTCTCCTGTTGGGGGAATCCCCTTTTCTCTCCCCTCTTTTTGCCCACTTTTGCCCCCTTTATGGAGAACTTTATGCCCCAGCTTTTGCGCTTAAACTCACTCAATGTTAGAGCAATTTAAGAACAGTTTAAACCAATCAGATGACTGGATTTGGTCAATTTAAGAACATTTAAGAACAAAGCTGACTAATCACAGACAAAAGATTTTTGTCTTACCAAGATGGCAGCTGTGCCATCTTAGATGTTTCTCTGAAATAGCGTACAGTTCGAGGCGAAAGTGAAGGGAAAGAAAACCGAATTACTCGATAAGAAAGTAGAAAAGGATATGTACCACACTTTTGCTGACTTTGTATCCCGCTTTGTAAAGAGAAAGAGCGCCTACTTCGAACGGCAGAAGGAAATGTGATGACAAAGGAATATCGTCGGATCGACAAACAAGAAGCAGCTCATCATTCAGATAAGTTTTAATGTTTAGCCAAGTGATTTCGATTTATTGAGTAATCTTAATCATGTTATGCATAGATTTAAAGAAACTCTACAGTTTTTTAAAATTCATGTACTTATTTGGAATAAGCGTCTTAAGTTTGACGAAGCTGTCAAATGTAAACAGAACATATAAGATGTATCGCCTTATTTGACACTTCTCAAGTTTCGTAAAACCTTGGTTACGAAATTGAACAAAGTCAGGATTATAAGAGAAGTATTTCCTCTCAGCTGATCTTAGTTGACCGAAAGCTAGATTTGTTTGTCTGCACGGCCTTTCTTCTTTTACCCTTTTTTCTGTCAAACACACACATGTATTGCAAAGTTATGCCACCAAAGCGTCCTGATTTCCGTTTCCGTAACGAGGAAACTAAAGAATTGTTGTGGGCTGCCTCCACTCGAGCCAAGGAAGTGGCCGATATGATGAAAAAGCAGAAGAATGAAGGTTTCTTTGGACCTCAGTTATCAAAGGAGCAAGTTTGTTAGAACACTATTAAGTTAAGCAATTTAAATTTTAAGCCTAAGTTAATTCTTCTTATTTGTTGTCAGTTTGTTTTCCTATTTTAATTGTAGAACAATCAGGTTGTTGCATATTAGCCCATTTTTGGAGTTCACTTAACTAACAAAATTTCATTAATTTCCAAGTACCAAACATAATATGAGCTGTTTCATTCATTTAACTGTACTGTTATTAGTGCTTAGTTTCACTTTTACTTCATGATCACAGTTAAATTAGTCATTTTTATTTAAACAACAACAACAACAAAAAAACAGGCTGAGTTAGAGGCAAAACGACGTGTGCGTAAGTCTGGTGGAGATGTGGATAATGAGGAGTGGGTCCTAAGCATGACTTCTCTGCAGTTTGGCAAGTACCATGGCAAGAGTTTTGTGTGGCTTCTGCAGAATGATGTTGGTTGGGCTACCATGTTAATGGCTGACCAAAAACGTGCTCGCGAGACAGCAAAGCGGTACGGGGATCCACAATGGGACAATAAAGAAGCTCTTTTTAGGTTAGTATAGTTAAGCATGCTGTTTTTAAGCAATAAAACGAACCTGATTTCTGTGGCACATCATGTATTAGCTGTAATGGCACAGTGTATTAAAAAAGAGAGATGTTTAGAAAGGGGTTTACATTAATTTTTCAGTACTTACGAGACTACCACTTTTCATGTTGTTTTCTAGACATTTAATTGCCTTCAATACACTCTATGTTCTTTTGTTTCACTTATAGGTATTTTAGTCTTTTCCCGGAGATGATTAATGCCATTGGCAAAAGAATAAGCCAGAACAAAGCCAAGGCCAGTGGAGTGGGGTCTGGAGATGCTGAAGGGCATGCTCTTGCTGGTTTTGGACCATATAGTAGTATGACTAGGAAAGGACTCATTCTTGAATCAGTGGACCAAAACCACAAAAGCTATGTACAAGAGCTCCTCCATCACCCAGTAACACATCCCGGTGGTCAGCTGGATAAGATTAAACAGTATCTTATAAGGCGGCAGCAGAAGCAGGAAAAAAATGACGATGCCCTCGCTCGATTTGCTGATGAGGTTGAGAAAAGAATGGGCACAGGTAATAAATAAAACTGATTGACAGTACCATATTTTAGAAATATATTAAACTTGTGTGTTGTGGCATAGTTCAAGGTTTCCTGTAAAAGGGTGTAATTTGCTTATCAGTAATAACCAAATTACATCCTTTTTCCTCAATTTCAGCCCATATTTTAACCATGACATTTATACATGTACATGTACAGATATGTTATTTGTTTAAGGTAGATTTTTTACTGTTAGTCTGTTTGATTTAATACTGTCAATCCCTAATCTTCTATTATCTCTTTGAAGTTACTCCCTCTACTGGTCCCAGTTTGACAGTGACAGCTGCAACCCCTATATCAGATACTCCAGAGGTTAGATATATAATCATTTATTATTAGAATTTATATTGTTATTGGTTTTAAAGGCTGTATCTGGTTGAACTAAGCCCTACACAACTGTTTAACAATATCATTTTTCTTTTACATCTACCCTTTTTACAGAAAATTGCTCTTCCCAAAGCTTGGCAAGAGACCTTACCAATTGAGCAACAACGTTGGATGAGCAAAGCACTGTACCAGTTCAACCCTTCGACTGGCAAGTCCGAGATAAAGAAAGACCTGAAGATGTGGTGGTTCCCACCAGAGCCTGTCCATAACTGCAACCAACCCCCAGTTTCACCTGACACTTACTTTTTAGACCCTTTTTTCTCTGGGCACCACAGAGAATTTGGGGCCTTGATCTGCGCTGCACCGAGGAGTGTAAAGCAAATCAAGCTAAACAGAATGTGAAGATACAATTACATATAGGACTTGGGTTTTTTAAAGTAGTCTTTATTTATATTAACATTTGTTACTGATATTTATATACAGTTTTAAGTGATATTTTTAGTATAATATTATTGTCTTGTCCTTTCATAATACAAATGTAAATATTACCTTGTGTGGACATGAATAAAGATTTCATTTATGCTTGATAGCATTGTAATGTTCAGCAATACATCTTTATTCTTCATAATCATGGATATTACCCTTTTTTCTTCAATTATGTATCATTTCTTTCAGCTGTACCTTACACAATCAGGGTTATACAAAACAGTATGGAGAGTGTTGGACATCGACCGATGGTACTTCATGGGTACAGAGTACCTAGAATGCAAGTTTTGCAAAAAAAAATTTCCTGCCTGGTCCAGTGTGGTACTTGGTCAACTGTGCTTGGGCCATCGGAGCTACTTTCCAGCACTACTCACATACAGGTACCAGTAAAAAACAAAGTCGATAATTTATTATAATAATTCACCAGCAGTAAGATGAGATGATATGAAAAAAGAAAACCCACTTGCCTTTTGCTGGAAAAAAATAATGGTTTAATCAAATGACTTGTCCAGAAATTTGTTATCCTATGTTTTTGTATTCAGATACTCTTGTGATTTGCGAGTTGTTGGCCTATTAAGACAGAGGACCCTCGGGAACTCTTCCACTAAGGTGTGTAATCAAGTCGGAGAGCAGCATAGTGAATTGTACATGAAAAGGCTCTTGAGATTTTTAGGGAGCCGTTTCATGTAAAATCTGCAAGTGGCCTATTCAATATTGCTGCTCCCAACAAAGAATTACCACCAATGACACTGGTGCCTAAAGGACCTTGGTTTCTTGCTGTTTATGTGAGGGATGTCTTGAGCAGGTTAGACGAAGTGAAGGCAAAGATAACCTCTACCTTTGGCTCAGTCCTTAAAATGGAGTCAACAAAGAAGGTAATAGCTTAATAAGAATTTTTTCATTTTTCAATTGTAAATAATTATTATTATGGTGGACTCCTCTTATAAAACAGTGAAATTTGATGGGGGAGGGTGCCTAGTAACTTGGAACCTAAAACTATGTCAGCACAGTAATTAAAGTTTGTTGATTAAGACAGTAATAAAAACCTTGCAGAGAGAAATAATATTAAATGGAATAATGACTATTAAATAATATTTTTTGGAAATGCATGTATCTACACTAGCATATTTTGGGCACTTTCATTTTCTGTGTATGCATTGCAGTGTTATATTTTTCAAAATGTTTTAAGAATCTTTCTTCTTGCACAATTTTGCAGGTCACTAAAAAGCTTGGAGGAAATGCTGCTGGAACAGCTTCTTGGGCCACAAATGTGGGCAATGAGCTTGGCCAGCTGGTACTGTCATCTGTCTTGACAGATTCGGAAGGTGATGGTCTTGGCGACATGGTGACTGACTTGGTAGAGAGATACAGAAACTCTGATGTACTTCCACCAAAACTTCTGTATGTGGATCGAGATTGCTGTTCTAAAAAGTTGAAGAGCCATTTCCATGAGTGGAGAAATCTGGTCATACATCTCGATGTATGGCATTTTATGAGACGGTTTGCTGCTGGTTGCTGTTCAGAATCCCATGCCCTGTATGCTAACTTTATGTCTCGACTATCTGCATGTCTGTTTGAGTGGAATACCAAAGACCTTCAAAGATTATATGCAGCCAAAAGGGGTCAACTCTCTGCCAGTGGGGTGTGGAGAAAACGGAAAGATGTTGCTATGCATATAACCAAGAAAGAACTGGCCTTGCACTGCAAACGACGCACACGGGGCGTGGAGGAAACAACTCGTCTCATCAAAGATCTATTTGACACATTTTCTTCTGACAAAGGGAACGATACCATGGGTATACCTCTGCTGAACAAAACATCAATTATCCAGCAGATATGGGAGGAGCAGAAACAGCACATTTCATGCATACAGGACGTAGATGACCCTTCCATTCAATTGTACACCCAGACTGGTACATTGAAGAAGGGTGGTGTTGAGCTTCCCATTTACAGGTGTGCCTGAGGGTCAACATCATTGGAGTCATTCCATCTACACATTGATCGCTTCATTACAGGTAAAAAACAAACAAAATGCTCTTCTTTATATAAAACAATAATGTCCTCATCCTCCTTAAGGATCACCTCCGTTAACAAAAAATGTTGAATTGACAGATATGAAGAGATGTGTAAGGTACATTCCAAGTAATGTCTGTGCTTCTGAAAAGATTGTACTGAAACAGAAAGTTGTGTTATTTAATGGTCTAAGAGCATCTTATATAAGGGTAACATCTTTCTTCTGGCACTCCTTTTAAATGCTTAAATTTTTTACTTGTAGGTAAATGATTGCCAATGATGTCCACTTCCAGTGCTATCTACTTGAGGGCATTGTACGCTGGAATGAAGACAGGGCTTCGGCGGCCATGATAGGCGGGGGTGAAAAGTCAACAACGAGCAGCTACTCTTCCTCCCTAAAGTATGAAATCAACCGCTTGACTAAAATGGTGTTAGTGTATGGTGAAGAGCAGCAAAAAAACTTTGACCATCCTGGCAAGTACACAGGTAATGTGGGTTAATTGTATATCTTGATCATGTTTTGCATGGAGTTAGGTAACAGATAAATAGTGCTGTGTCTACTAAGTGTATCCCATGCATGAGCAATCTACAGGCCGCTGATTTCCACCTTCATTTGGAAGTTTGCAGTTCCTAATAACCTCATAAAACTCACATACCGATTTGAATTGTTCTTGTTGTTACAAAATTAGGTGAGAAAATGGGGGTAGAAGATCTTGACAGCCAGACAGGGAAGACTTGGTCTTCAGATGTCAATCGTCTTGATCCAGATGAACCTGATGAACTGACTCATGAGTTGACTGATGACTCCCTAGATGAAGGTTTTGCAGAGAGTGAAGAGGTGGATCTCCTACAGATCAGCAGCCCTCAAGTGCAACCACTGGTATTTTACACAACTGAAATTAATGCTAATCTGTGATTATTTGAGTTACAAGACAATCTTTCCCTTGAACTCTTTGTTTTAGTTCGGGCATTTTCAATATTGCTTTGGTTCTTCTTTCCAGCTCAGTCATCAAGCCAAGAAGACAGCTCCACTAGAAATGAAGAACCACCAACAACTGATGTACACGTACTTTCCGATTCTGATGACACTTCTGATACTGAGTTGCAGGTACGAATACATGTTGTATCAGTCAGAAATTATTTTTAGCCTGGCCAATAGTGACTTAATTATATCTACAAAATCATTATTATAGCTTCTGTGTTTTCTAATCTCTGCTGTTTCCTGTAGGAGACAGCTGGTCCTCTTGGGATTCTTGGTTGGGAGTAGATCCAGCAGCTTGCCAATGCACTCTTTGATCTACGGGATTGCACTTGCCCTAACCAAAGCCCAAGTGAACCACCTGATTAGGGTGTGGAGTTTACTCCCTACTGCGCTCAAGGAGGCAAAAGTCATGTACCCTCCACGTTACCGCAGTGATAATAAACACTGCGGTAGATTCATACAGAAGAAAGCAAGTGCAACTCATACTCAGACAGTGACTCCCGGAACAGTCAGTCTTAGAAGGTGAACACAGTGCATAGTTGTCGAGTTCTAAGAAATGCTTGAAAGGGAAAAATATTAACACATAAAATAAACAATTCAGATTTCTCAAAGAGTTTTTTTTTTTTTTTCATACCTATAAATACAGGACAGAGGAAAATACTTTTAGTCAAATTTGTGCTGAGATTTTTTTGTATCATTGCTATACTATTTGGGAGGGGATAAGACGAGAATAGGGGGCATGGAGCTGTGAGTAACTTGTCAACTAAAACGCGTAATATTGCCCACACTACATGTAGCTAGCTCATTGCTAAAAGTAAAAATCACCTTCTTTTTCCATTTTATATCCCTCTTGTCTTTTAAATGCTGACAATAGTTTTAATAAATGTTTTTCAGGGCAAAGGTTGGTGGAAACTCTGGTCCTGCCACTCATGTAAATGCAAGCCCTCTGGTGGAGGCCATTTGTATTAAAATAGAGGGAACATATCATTCTCCACAGAGGCATAATGGCAAAAGTGTTTCTAGGTGGAGAATCATCTAAGGCAAGTACCATAACATCAGGAACCTTGTCACCTTGCATGACTGTCTCATGAACGCAACCAACATTCAATTATACCAGCTGAACCAGACTACTCTCCTGACGTGGTAACTAGCAAAATTTCAATTTATATAATATGATAATCAATGACAGGATGAGAATTTTTCATGCTTGGCAGGTGCAACACAGTTCCCTTCAAAACCCCTTTCTCTTCAATTCAAAATGCTTGACAGTGGACCAAATTTACATTTACATGCACAACACATTTTTACTGTACCAAGAATAATAATACAGTGTTTGTTAATATTATTTTGTCTACACGTTTAACAAAAGACAGAAAACCATAGAAAACAGGGTTCTGATCCAGTCCCTCCCACCCACTGCACCGGTTGAGTCTGCTGAGCCACTTCCTCCTGCACAGTCACTTTTGTCCAAGCCACCAACCTATCCAGCTCGAACGTCACATGACTTTAAGTCTATTCCAAATCTACCAACTGAAAGACCTAAAGGCACACAAACAGTTGTACCTCCAGCTGAAGGGGCAGTCCGTGTATATAACAGTCCCACTGTTATACTAGTGCCACCTAAACACTGTACAACCAGCGTAAAAGGGCAGCTGAAGGAGAAACGCCTACAAGTACTGAAACTGCAAGCAAACGGAAGTACCAGAGGTCAACCACTTTTAATGTCTGCAGACAGTGCCACCCGCCTAAAACGAAGACATTTGGTCAGTCGCCATGTTGGGGGAAAAGCTATCCAAGTGTGGATGCCTGGCTCCAGGAAAGGCGAAGAGAAAATCCAAAAAAAGAAAAAAATAATTCTACATGACAAAATTTTTAGTCTTATCTATGATTTTTGCTTTGCAAATTACATTATACCCAAAGTAGCTATGATTTTGATTTCAATTTACCAAGTCACCAAGTTTACAATATTTTCCCCCATCAGTGTGACGGTACTTTGTCGTAGCGATGGGGCCCATTTGTGCTCTCTAACAAGTGCACAACTGCTAAATCCGTCACATAATTAGTTGTCATAAAGCATTCAACCTTGATGCGATTTTACTTTTGCTTATTTGGAAATTGCAAAAGAAAGGGTGCAACGTGATGTTATGGATCAAATCCTGGTGGTTGGCCGCACCCATGCCTAGATTTCACAATGGACAGCTACATTGATCTTTATTCATTGATAAGGAATAATTTACTAATTATTAATAGACTATTATGACATGAAAATTCCATGTGACTATTTTCAGTAATTTTACATTGTATTTAGTTATGACCGTTAAATTTCGATTCAAGGGTTGAGTAGTATAATCATACCATAATTAATCTTGAAGGTTTTTGAATTTAAACTTTACAGGCCAGTAGAGTGTAACAGCTGACTGTGCACTTGTAATGGATTTGACACCTTATTTTGGTAAGTTTGACTCGTACGTATTTAAAGAATGGCCCCTGAGTGTTTGAAGCAATTTTTTTTCATTTTCTTGTATTTTTTCTCTCTATTTTTCGCATTATTTTATTTTTTTCTATTTTTTCTTATTTTTTATTTTATTTTTCTCTGGCGGGAAGATTGCGTGGGAATTTTTGCGCCTAAAAATTGCTTATCTTCGGTGCTTACGTTATCCAATCAAATCGCTTGCAGTTCCAAATTCGTTCCAAATTCATTCCAAATTGGACTTCCATATTTGGAAAATCGATTGCGTGCTGTTTACAGCCTTCCGCCATGTTGGATTTTTGTAGCTTGTGAGTTTGAAATAGAACGAGAAAGTCACGTAGTTATACTGTATTTTTCTTGCTGATCTTTTAGTCCTGTTTAGATCACCCGTTTTCCTAGCCAGATCCGAGTTTAGTTAGTTCATTCGCTGATATTTTCCCCGGGGAATTTGGAGGCTTTCTAGACCTTGTTCATGAATAATTTATCGTTCTGCCCCATTGCTCGTGGTATTGACACTGCATCGAAGGTTGAGAAATAACACATTTAAACGTAGGTTTTTGAGCTTTTTACCTGTATTACAGAAGCAATAAACATTAGTTTAAGTAGTGAAAATCGATTCAAGGAAATCGTTGCAGTTATAGTTTCTATATTGAAGAATTTTCTTGCTTCACCCACATAAATAATTCATTCAGTTATTCTGCTCTGTTGATTTACAGGATTTATAGAGGTCATCATAAAGTCATTTTTACAAGACGTTTTTCGTGTTGTAACGCCAATTTTGGTAGGAATATTTTATATGTTTTGCATTAAGCCGAATGTGCCGGTCAGTACAGTCAAAGACAGCTCTGCAAAATATTTGTCTGAAAAGTATATGTGATTCTTTGTGCGTGTTGTGTGACCTCTGCTGAAGTGTTGTACTTGTTTGTTCTTGTGTGGGTGCAATTACTAAAAAAGTAAAAACAAATTCCTGTGGTGTAATGGTATCACACTGGACAGCTTTTGTTCAGAAATTCAGGTTCAACTCCTGACACTACCAATGTCACCGCAACTAAAAGCACCACAGTCACTTCAATGGATACCATGACCTCTAATTCCTTTCCTGCTCACGAGGAATTAACAGATGCTGAACTGTTGGCGGCTGCTCAACCTATTGCCTTGTCCTGTACTGAAGGTGTGCCCCAACTTGATAAAGTATTTATAATATAATATTTTTATGGGGAGGTCATCATGAGGGTGGCTTTGAGGAAGGATAGACTGATAGACTGACTGACTGACTGAATGAATGAATGAATGAATGAATGAATAAGAAACTCACTAAGTAACTAGCTTACTAACTAACTAAAAAATCATAAATAAATAAATACATACATACATAAGTAATCTTAATAAATAAATAAATATAGCTGAAATATTTTTATTAATTTAATTTTTAATTAATTAATTAAATAAATGATAGCTATAATAGTTATGTGTTTGCTAACGGATAATTATGTATATGAATTTTTTTTGCACCTGCAGAATACCCTTTGCCAGGTAGCTGGCTCAAATACTTGCCAGAGGTTGACCACCAGTGGATATCGAAAAGCACTGGTCAAATGGTCTGCAACAGGCAAGCCAGAAATAGCCTACAGCCAGATAAATAAGTTGTGGTGGCATCCTCCTGAACCCCACCTTTCATCTCCTATTCCACCGAAAGTCAACTGATACTTTGGCAATAGACTTTTTCTGTGGCTGCCAAAGAAACTTTGGAGATATAGTACCTGCACTAACCACGAGCTGACATCCGCCGGCTTGTACCCAGTCATCCGCCGAGTACTAGATGTGGACAGTGTGTACCACCTGGTGTCTGAGTACCTGGAATGTTCAAGTTGCAGAAAGAAGGTAATTGCATGGAGTGCCCCTGTCCTCTCTCAACTAGATATGGGCCATCGCCTTCAATTTCCTGTAATACTCACATACAAGTATGCGTGTGATGTGCGGGTTATCAGAATGATGCGTGATAGAGGCATTGGTAAT